GACTGTTGAACCTTTACTTATCCTTATCCGTGTGCAATAAGGCATGTAATCATCAGAAGAGTCCGAGTTTTGGACCTCTGTTGGGGTCTCCGGGAGTACTGTCGACTGATTATCCTGGTCGTAGTGTCGAAAAACGGAAGGTTCCCCCACATCACAAGTCAAGGAAGACGGTGTTGGTGGACAAAAGTTTACATCCGGAGGCTGTGTTGCGCGCCAACCGCCAATACGTCTGCTTTGCAGATGTGTCTTTGAAGTTGTGTGTTCGCTGCAGTCAAGCCTAGCCTACCGGGCCGTGGAAGAGTAATCAATCGTCTGCCGCCAATCAGACGAAGCAGAATTATCGATTACCTATGAGTGTATGCGCGTATGAAGCGGCGAGTGGGTCGATAACACGCGGAGTAGATGAATAAGCACGTGTGTAAGCCCTGGCAGGGGGGAAGCAGAGTCAGTGCGCCAAATTTGATAATTCATGTTACCTAATTGTGAAAACTTTGGCAGCCTCGCTGGGATTCGAACCCACCTCAGAAAGGAAAGGTTTGAGTACAGTCAACGCTCTAGCCAACCGAGCTATCGAGGTCCCAGCGCAGCCGTGAATTTGATCGCCCAGTCTACTGCAACCTATGGGCATCACCTATAGTGATACAGTAAGCTGACTGCCCAAACAGGATTTCCTAAGTAATCAATCTCGAATCCACCAAACACACCTAATTTCAAGGTAGATTGGAATAATTCAAATGACCCCGTTTGTGAAAAAGTCGTCGGTCTCGATTCTTATTTCCCCGCAAATTTGAACTAACTCATACAAAGTCGTGATCAAAATTCGGGTTGATGGTTTAATGTAGATTTGGTCTGGTTTTTTAATGTGTTGAGCGGACTAGATGCCCAGAAAGTAAAGAAAACTTCATGTTAAGGGCTTATATTGAAGGACAACAAGACTTAATTTACAAAAAGTAATAATTATAAGCATTTGGGTAGAATATTAGGACTTCTTAGAAGTTAATACCTGAAGAAGAGTACATATCAGCGTAAAAAACTGTTAAAATTATCCAATAAGGATGAAACTCGTTCGTTGTTGCACCGTTATTCTACTTATCGATTCCGGTTAAAGAAAATCATATATCTCTCTATACTATTTAAAAGACGTCACTCAGTATTCCATCTCTTTAGCAATTGATGTGGACTCTATTGTATACTTAATAAGAAGCATTAAAAAATAAACCGTTGTTATTTCGTATGAATAAGTAATTCAGGTTCTTAAGAAGCTCATAATTATAAACTTTCGTGAAACCACAAGCGAACATCTCTTCAATACACGGGTGTGCTATGAAGTGCGTAAACGTTGGGATACGTTTCTGCATTTTTTTATAATGACATAATCGCCTTGGACATATCCAACTCCTACAGCTCCTGAAGTTCTGTCTCAGGACGTACTTCACTTTCGATAGAACAGTCTACGACCAGGTGAAGGGGACACCAATGGGTTTACCGATTTTGGGATTCACAGCCGATGCGGCCCACTTAGAAAATGTGGTTAACGTCGGGTTTAAAATACCGAGAAAAGTGCACAGTGAAAAACCGACCACTTGATAAGTACGAATTTCCCAATTACTTTTCGACGACTTTATAAATTTTAAGATACTTTTTAGTTTAAATGTACAAAAAAATTATTATTGTAAGCATGTGGTGGCATATTACAACTTCTTAAAAGTTAATCCTTGAAGAAAGGGTACATATTGATGAAAAAACTGTTAAAATTTTCGAATAAGGATGAAGCTCATTCGTTTTTGCACCTCCATTTTACTTTGCCAAACTGCAAACTGTATTAATTTCGGTTAAAGAAAATCATATATTTATCTATACTGTTTGAAAGTCGTCACTCAATCATTATAAATTTGGCAGTCGATGTGGACTCTGTTGTATATTGAATAAGAATCATTAGTAAATAGATCGTTGTAATTTCCTATGAATGAATGCATATTTAATGTTCTTGAAGGAGCTCATATTTATAAACTTTCTTAAAACCGAAGGCGAACCTCTCTTCAATACGCAGATATTCTACGAAGTGCGCAAAAGTTGGGGATACTTTTTGTATTTTTATATATAATTAATATCAATTTATAGGGTATCAAAAGCAATGACCTAAAACGTAGTTCTTAGGTAGGTGGTCAAAATGAAGCTCATTCAAAAGCAGCCATCCTGTTATGATTGTGCTATATCTTCTGAGAAGACTGCAAGATAACTAATCTCCCAACCTTACCTCTGCAATATTTCGAATCAAAACACAATGCAGAAGTTTGATTGATATTGCATGTGATCAGAAAACTCGGGTTTATATCAATTCGGTTCAACCACCTTTACAGGCAGTGGAAACGACCTTGCCGTTTGA